GGTTTGCAGAATTTTAGGCGACTCAAGCGTGAATATGATGACGAGGGAGACGACTTCCGCTCGCGCAGCAACGGTCGTGTTTCTCATAGAGAAAATGTGGATTCTTTGATCGGGAGGGGACGTGCGAGAGGCCTAGATTCGAGAAATCGACGGATTCCAGGTCATGAAAGTTTAGGCAGAGGTGGGAGGGATTTTAAGAAGCAATCACGTTTCGTAGCTGAAAGTAAAAGCGAAGAAGATGACGACGACGACGACGACGACGACGATAAGGGTCAGAGAATTAGGGATTTTCTGAGCGATGAAGATAGTGCCGATGACGACGATGAACACAATTCTGGGCTGAGAAAAAGTAGTAGTGCCTTGTTTCCACCTGGCGAGATGGATCCACCACGAAATTCCTCAGGAAGTTCTGGCTCGTATTTGAGTGAAACTAGGTGCGTAAAATTAAACTCTATAAAGCCATTTCCATTTCCATTTCTTTTTGTTGTCTTAAACTGTTTACTGCGTTACCGTTTAGTTGAGATTCTTCATGTCTTTATTTCCAATTTCTTTGTTATTGGTTCCTCTTTTTCCATCTGTTGCCACAAATTTGAAAGTAACTGAGGGGACAAGGAGAAATTCAAGACCAACCGCCGAAAAAGCACTCAGAAATGAGTGTTAGAGGACCATTACAGAATATTTTGGTCTCTAGTGTTAGGAATCTAACAGAGCAACCAAAAGAATTACTGTCTCATGCCTCTTCCTTATGCCCACACTACATCTATAAAGATTTTCCTACTCATAAAATTCATTGATCCAACCCATGCGTTGATAATTGAGGCCTTCTTTTGACAGAAACACAATGAACAATTGAGAAATACAACCTTTAGTAAAATGGGAAGCCCCCAAGTTAGTCTACGAAGCCTACAAGATCCGTTTCCTTATTTCTTTCTTCAAACAAGAATAAAAAGAAACGAAATGGGAATGAACATGCAAGTGAAAATAAATGAGAGGTCCTGGGAGAAGACTTGAAATATAATTAGATTTATTTCTTCTTTGTGGGCTTTGGTTGATAGTTGTCCGCTATAAGATAGCTAGTTTTGGGGCTTTCGACATAAAAAAGCCGATCCTAAAAGCTTTTTTAATTACGAGTTAGGTGAAATTGTTTTGGATTGGAGTTTTTTTCTATATGCCATTGTATTTTCTTTAATTTTTCTCGATGAAAGGTCGGTTTCTTGTTAAACAAATGATTTCCCTTTCTAAATGGATGCATGACTGCTATTCACGCCTGTAGATTCGATCAGTGTTCAGTATCACCATTGTCATTAAAGGGTATCAAGGATGCTGGATATGAGAAGATGACTGTTGTACAGGAGGCTACACTTCCCCTAATACTGAAAGGTTTGTTTCTTTTCATCAGGTGCCCAGACATAAATGTCGCATCCTTAATGTAGACTAATGTCGCTCACTCTTTTTCAAACTCAAGAATACTGTCCGGTTATTTCAGTAGTGTACTGAACGGTTTTCGTGAGCACCTATGAAAGGATTTGCGATTCTGTGAATCTTTGAAAAAATCATACGTGCACTTAATTCACTTGCACAAATCATACATGCACTTAATTCACTTATATCTCTGTTAAGTCACTCTTCTTACACAGTAATTGCACTTTGTCATTACAGGTAAGGATGTTCTTGCTAAAGCAAAAACAGGGACTGGAAAAACTTTGGCTTTTTTGGTAAGTTACATGATTATGCTTGCAAATTGGCATTTACAATTGTGATAGGTACGAAAAAGGAAATGTAACAGAATTGTCATACAAACATCAGTTGATGAGATACTGGTTGATTGGTTGATCAACAACTTAATATCCCTAAAAAATTTGTCAAAATATCACCCTGATTGTTTACAGAAACTGAATAAAGAAAAAAACTCTTTCTAAGTTGTCGAGTGTTAAAACTGGTTTCCACAACACCTGCACCTTATTGCCATAATGAAGACCTATGTAGTAAGGGAGACCTGCAGTAGTTGCCAGCTAGCATGATTTCTCTTCATTTTTTTCACCTGGAATGATAGAGCAAGCAAATTTCTGCACTGTCAACTGTACAACTTCTTTATTTCAGCTTCCGTCCATTGAAGTTGTTGTGAAGTCCCCACCTCCCAGTCGTGATCAGAAGCGGCCTCCAATTCTTGTTCTTGTTATATGTCCAACCCGAGAACTTGCCACTCAGGCTTCCACAGAAGCTAATACTCTATTGAAGTACCACCCAACTATTGGTGTTCAAGTTGTAATTGGAGGTACAAGACTTGCCCTTGAACAGAAACGCATGCAAGCAAACCCTTGCCAGGTTAGATTTCCTAACTCTTAGTAGCCAATTGTTGCAATTTTTGGACCCTGTATAATGTATATTATGAAAGCTTAATATCTAGATAATATGTGGTTTAATGTGTTGGAACTAGTCTACTACTACTATTGAATGCTGCATATTCACACTTTGAGCTGGTTATAAACAATCAATTTGGGGTATGAATTTGTACTCCATATTACTGTTAAGAGTCATTATGGTTGTCATCATTTTTAAAATTCACAAACATGGAACTGCAGATTCTTGTTGCTACTCCTGGAAGGTTAAAAGATCATATAGAGAATACTGCTGGCTTTGCTACTAGACTCATGGGTGTGAAGGTTCTTGTTCTCGATGAAGCTGATCATTTATTAGACATGGGATTTCGCAAGGACATTGAGAGGATTATTGCTGCAGTTCCAAAACAAAGGCAAACCCTTTTATTTTCCGCCACTGTTCCAGAAGAGGTGTTTATTTAATGCGCTTGCTGTGTTGTTTGTTATCATCATACACATTCATTTTGTTGAATCCTAAGCAATTCTTTTGAATAAAGGTCCGCCAAATTTGTCACATTGCCTTGAGAAGAGATCATGAATTTGTCAATACAATTGAAGAAGGCAGTGAGGAGACACATGCACAGGTAGGCAATCTATTGGCTCCCCTTCCATCTTTAATGAATTTGTTAATGTGGCCGGTTTTGTTACGTTTCTGTATATTGTTCCTGTATCTTGTTTCTTTTTTCTTCATTTTTGATAAAAAGCCTAATTTCTAAGTTAACTATAACCAGCTGGATCATTTCAGGTGAGACAGATGCATATAGTTGCCCCATTGGAGAAGCATTTTAGTCTGCTTTATGCTATTCTTAAAGAACATATTGCTGATGACGTTGATTACAAGGTATTAACTCCAATTTTGGTTAACAAATTTATACCAAGAGCTCTGTTTTAGTGATTTCCTTCTGTTATAATGAGGATGGGAAAATTGTAGCTATCACTCTCCATATCTTCTGAATTCATCTCTTTATGGATGCAGGTTCTTGTGTTCTGCACAACCGCTATGGTCACGCGAATGGTTGCCGACCTTCTCGGTGAGCTGAACTTGAACATCAGAGAGATCCATTCTAGGAAACCACAGAGTTACAGGACCAGAGTTTCTGATGAGTTCAGAAAGTCAAAAGGGCTCATCCTTGTAACTTCAGACGTTTCAGCACGTGGAGTCGATTATCCAGACGTGACCCTTGTTGTACAGGTATGTTATGCTCTCTCATTCAACCTATTCACAAATGTTAATGAGAAAGTTGCTGTTGGGACTACTGATGCTTCTGTCTTGTAAGAATATGAGTTTTCTCGGACTGTACATTTTGTTGAAACATATACTAGTTTGATTCAAGAAGCTCCTTTCCTTCAGGTTGGCTTACCTGCTGATAGGGAACAATATATACATCGACTCGGTAGAACGGGACGAAAAGGCAAAGAAGGGCAAGGCATATTGTTGCTAGCGCCTTGGGAAGAATTCTTTTTGTCTACAGTTAAAGAGTTGCCTATAACGAAAGCTCCACTGCCCCTAATTGATCCAGAAACCAAGAAAAAGGTCTCTCTCTCTCTATCTGGAAAAGAAAATCGATACAAACAAATTTGTGAGAACGAACTAACATCAAATGTAAACAGGTGGACCATGCCCTATCCCACGTCGAGATGAAGAACAAAGAAGCGGCTTACCAAGCATGGCTTGGTTACTATAACTCAAACAAGACCGTGGGGCGGGACAAGTACAGGCTAGTCGAACTTGCCAACGAGTTCAGTCGAAGCATGGGACTCGACAATCCTCCTACTATTCCCAAACTAGTACTTGGAAAGATGGGTCTCAAGAATATCCCTGGTTTGCGAGTGAAATGATTCAGAGGAAGTTGCAACTTGCAATAGAGAAGTAAAAGAGGAAGAATGGTTCTTGTGCCAGAAAGTGAACGCAAGAGCCAATTTTGTAATTCTCTCTTTGAGATTGATTGTTATGTAGGGTCAAATTACACTTATAAGTTTCAAATATAAAATTCTTACCAGTTCAAGAATAGATTCTTTTAGTTTTCTGATTGGGCCAAGTTATTCTTGTAAAGGAGGATCTTTAAACTTTTACCAGAAAAGAATGAAAGTATCAATCAAGCTATTCTTGTTTTTTTGCTAGATTGACTGATTTGAAGATGCCTTTGGCATTTGGCAGTTAATCTCGCTTGATTGTATGGCTGTGGTAATAACTAGACGAATTAATATCATATAAAATAAGATGCTAGTAGTGCTCTTAGGCTTGGTTCAGTTATTAAGATGGAAATATTGTTAGCCTCCCATCTTGAGGTACGGTGTTTTGAATCTTCAAGTGAGTTTAATATTAATAATTCTTATTATCTTTGGATCCAGGTCTTGGGATTGGTATGGATGTCTGGATAAAACTAAATAGCTTCTATTTTGGATTATATATATAAAAAATTGAAAATGAGAACCTAAGAATGATATTTCTTTTGACTTTGTTTTGAAATATAATAAAAAACTTAACATTGTCCTGTTTCTTTCTTTCTTCAAATAAGCTAACAGGGATAACACCACACGATAATTATAAAGTATTGCTCTTATGTTCCTAATTAATAGAATGATATTTTTTTGATGCTCCAGCTCCGTTGGTAATGACAAGGTTAGCCTTGGGGCGGTCGTGGGTGTCTCCAAGTATAGAGGAGCAAAATTCCGACTCTCGGTTATTAAAAAAGTTCATATTTTAAATGCTACTATGATTTTTTTCTTTTTTTTTTCTTAATAATTTCAAAACGGTAACTTGTAATTAATTTTGATTTATTTTTTTTCTTTCTCGATTGGATTGAAATTTTAAATCGTTTAAAAAATTGAATTTTATGTTTAAAATTAATTTGATATTAATAAATAATAACTAATTAAAAATGAAATTGTATCAATTGAAAGTATTATTGGAACAATTATTAATAATAAAGTATCATTTATTGTTTTTATTTTTGAAGAAACATTTAATGTTATTGTTAATTTGTTATGTTAATTAATTCTAATGAATTCTATTTTTGCTATTTTGCATATATATATATATATATATATATATATATATACTATATTAAAAAGGTAGGATGTAGGAAAAACATTTTTGGACACTTTTGCCCTTTACTAAATTTACAAATTACAAATTATACCATTAATATATTATTACAAATATTAAATTAACTATTAATTATTAATTATCCATACTATAAATGCATGGAATATAAAAGGTTAGAATGCAAAAAGTTTTCCAACAACATAAAATTAATTTTTTCTTTAATTAAAATTCATACTAGAATTTCAAGAGTTTTATAATTTGAAAGACTTTTGTAACGTTTTATCCTCTACTACTATAAAAATAGGCTTTCTTCTACATGTTTTTCATAAGTTTCAATACTTTTTTATTCTTAGTTACTTCAAACATCTCTCAAAGATGATTCAATCATGAAAACGTCTCGAGATATTTGTGACATATTCATCAAGTTGCAAGGGAGGCATATGTTGAATCTACATATCTCGAATACTAGGTTGTGACATTACCATTCCACAATTTTATAAAGTTGAATAATAGTATATGTCAAGCAATCTTCAAGAATGAACATATTTACTCTAAAAGATGAGTGTATAGTAAGTATTTGGATTTTTTTTTGTTACTATTGTTATTTTTCTAATTAGTGTGTTTTTTATTTGGAATGTTTCTTTTTTGAGCAATTTTATTTAGAATATTTGTTTAAAATATAGATAATTAGTTGAAAAAAAAAACAATCATAGAAGTCAATACATAAAAAAATGTTTAATTAATAAATTAATTATAAACAATAATTTGTATAGAATCTTAAAAGGTGGAATATAAACTTTTGGTCATTTTATTTTCTAATAATATAATTTGAAGAATTTTTCTTTAATAATTTTAATTATAATATAAAATTAAATCAATAAAATAATTTATATTTAGTTAAAAAATTCAACATATATAACAAAATGTCAGCTCTAAACAAATATTTAATAAACAAACAAAATATTAAAAAAATAAAATAAAGGACCCATATTAGGTTGAAATAATTTAAAAATAAAAATATTAAAATACCTATTTACTTTTTTATCTTTTAATTTATTTATTTACAAAATATATCATTAACAATTAATTATAAATAGTACATTTTATTATCAGTAATTAGCTGTCAATAATAATAAATATATATAAAAATTAATCTTAATTATTTTTAAAAATAATTATACTTAAATATTTTACGTGAAATTATATAAAATTTAAGTTACCTTATAATTAAAAAAATTTTTACGTGCATTGCACGTGGTAATACACTAGTATATTAAAATGTACGGATGTGGAAGTAATATTTTTTGAACAATATTGACCCTTCTTTTGTAATATCCAAATTATCCTTCTCTCCAATTTATGTCTCTCTCATACATCCGTCTTCTCTTTGACGTGACACTCTCATATCTTTTCTCATTTATCTCTCCCTTGTTTAATTATAATTTTCTTTCTCTCATTAAATTGCTTTTTAGAATCTTTTGATTCTTTTTCCCCAACCAAATAAATTCTTGAAACGTTATTATATATTTTAAATTAGTTAATAATTTATTAATAATTAATATGATAGATTTAAAATATTATTTTCTAATCTAAATTTAGCTTTGTCTTTCATTACTTATCAATTTAAATTGTAAGAGAAAATTTAAATATTATTCTATGATGTAATAATTTATCTTTGAAATATTATTTTACAATAACAAAAAATAAATTAACAAATAAAAATTATATGGATCAAAATTGACGAAATATATAATTAAAAAGTAAAATATGAGAATATCTATATTTTTAAATTGAGATATTAAAAATCAATTTAAAATTTCATAAGATTTAACACAAACAAATTATGAATATTGAACATTTTGTTTAGGAGAGTAAAAATTTAAATATTATTCTATTATGTAACAATTTGTCTTTGAAATATTATTTTACAATAATAATGAAAAAATTAAATTAATATTAGCAAATAAAAATTATATATCAAAGTTGTCAAAAAAAATATAGGGCAAAATACATTTTTGGTTTCTAAGATTTTGAGGTAGGTGTCTAATTGGTCCCTAAAATTTCAAAACAAACACTTTTAGTCCTTGAGATTTAAAGTAGGTGTCAACTTGGTCCTGATTTTTTTTTTCACTGTTAATTAACTAATGTTATAACAATGTGACAAATTACAATTAAATTGTTTATTGTTGTTGCTGATGTGAAAATTATATTAATTAAATGATATATGTCCGACATGAATGGTGGACGGTGGCGGCAAAGACGTGGTGGTTGCCGGAAAAGGGTAAGAGAAAGAGAGAGGAAAAGATGAGGTGAGGAGGGAGAAAGCACCATCACCTACACACATATTTTTTAATTAATATAATTTGTCACATCAGCAACTACAATAAACAATTTAATTGCAATTTGTCACGTTTTTTTAATATTAGTTAATTAACAGTAAAAAAAAAGACTATTTATAACTATTTCTCAAACTTCAGGCATTAAAAGTGTTCATTTTAAAATTTCAGGGATCAAGTTGATACCTACTTTAAACCTCAAGGATCAAAAGTATTCCTTTTGAAACTTTAGGGACCAATTAGACACCTACCTCAAACTTCAGGGACCAAAAGTGTTCATTTTGAAATTTCAGGGACCAAATAGACACGTATTTCAAACCTCAAGGACCAAAAACGTATTTTGTTCAAAAATATATTATGAAGAAGTAAAATATGAAAATATTCGTGTTTTTAAATTGAGATATTAAAAATTTCCTAAGATTTAACCTAAACAAATTATGGATTTTGAAAAAAAAAATTTAGGGGACAAAATTTAAATGCACCACAAAGTGGATTAAATGAATGAAACATGAAAGGTTATTAGAATATCAAAAGTTCTACCTTTATTTATATAAATTAATTTTAAAATTAAATATTTTACATTTAATTAGGTTGAAGGGTGTAATATGAAAAATGTTAGAATCTTGAAGGTTTTCGTAACTTTTATACTTCCTACAAAAAGTGGTTCTCTCTCCCCTCATTTCCACACTAATTTATTCCTTTTTTTATATACATATTTTTTTCTATTTAGTTCATCGTGGTTTCTAGATTTAGTGATAGAATACTAACATTTTCAATATTTTTTTTATTTTGTAGAGCGGCGTTGTTTAGCAATTGTTGATCATTGTGTGTATCTTTAAGCATTTGTCAGTTGGATCTCAAACATCGGTAAGAAGTAAATATATTTTATTAAAATATAGGATAATCGCCTTGATTTTGTTCTTCAATATTGCTACTTTTAAGTTCAGACTATTTTGTAGTTAATTTTAATATCATTATTTTTTATTTTAAATATTTTTACATATTTAAAAATTGTTAAGTTGTCTGTTTTATTTAAATACAATAGGATTAATCTTTGATTTTCTCATATACATGAAGAAAAAATAACTATCCTATCATTTTATTTTATGATATACTTTCAACGAACATTAAATAATATTTTTTAGGAATGCAATGTAAAAAAATAATTTTACTAATACAAATATGCCATTATATAAAGTTATTTTATTTAAAATAAAAAGTTAAAAGTAATATGTATCTTCATCGTTAAAACTTTGTTTGAAAGTAAATTTTATAGTTAGAAACACAGTGACAACATTTTTAAGGCCAACCAAAGCATAGTTGATCAACGGTTAATGCACGTTTATCCAACCAATATATAAATTAATTTATTCAATCAAATGGTGAGCTATTTATTTAAATAAGTGTTACTAAATTTTAAAAATTAATAAATAATTATCAAAATATATCGGAAAAATCACTTACTATTAATAGATAATTTATTTTGTTATAAATAAAAATGATGGTAGTATTTGATTGATTCATAATTTTTTATAACTAAAATTAACGTTAATATATGATGGGATAAAATTAAGATTGCACGTGTTAAATTACTAGTATAAAAGTGCGGAGGTGGGAGAAACTTATTTGGTATAAAATTATCCTTCATATTTTAATAAATACCATTCATGCACCTTTATTCAGTGATGTTTGAGTGGATTGCCGGCCAGTTTTTAAAAA